TCTCAGTTAGATGAAACAGAACTTGAACAAGTGCAAATACTTACAGAAATTAGAAACAAATATCAATGTAATATTCACAATACCTCTTGTTATATTGAAAATAACAAACACCTTCAATTGACACCAGCACGATTAACATTGTGGGCTCAGGATATTGTATGATTGTTTATTATTTATTATATTATTTTAATTTGAATTTTTATATTTTATATTGTCCTTTATTACAATTTTATAAATTAGATATGAGAAATGACAACAATTGATATACCTCCTTCTTATCTTACTTTTGGAGCAATTCATGCAAAATCAGTTGCTTCAACATCAATACCTCCTAATAATATTTCTATTCCTGCTATTTCTGGTTTTACTACAACATATCAATGGATTTTTCCTTTTCCTTTTTCATTTCCTGGTATCAATTCTTGTTCTCCATTTGAAAAATCAGATCTAACCTTTCTGAATCATCTTTTAAATGTCCAACTATTGGTGAATTTTTATCAGAAATTAGATAATATACATAATAGTAATGGAATTTATAAGTCATTAGAAAATTTATTTTTAGAAGAAGATATAACTGTAAATGCTATTAAAGATTTAACAGGTAAAGAATTAATTTCTATAGTAGTTAATAAAATAGGTTGGAGAAAAAATATTAAGCAAATCTGCTAATAAATATTAGTTTATGAATGTTATTCAATATTTATATTGATATTTTAATATCATTGTTATTAAAAATGTTTTTGATTACAAAATATAATTTATTTGATTTATTTATTTATTTTTAAAAAAATATATTAAATCTTTAAAATTTGCAAAATATATTTTATTTTACTATTTATAAAGATGGCACCTGTAATCATGATTTGCAGATTGTGATATTATATCTGAATTGCAATTATTATAAAAAATTTCTTTAATTTTTTGACTAATAACTTTTTGTAAAGAAGTCTGATTTTGATGAAACAACTACCAAAATGTTCAACTCAATGAGAGAAATCTAATGAGCTATATTTCGCAAAAATTGGATCACAGGTTAGTGAAATATCAACGGAAAGCATGAAAATTAGAATAGAATTTTATCTACTAAAAATACCAAATGATAAACATTAACTTTGTGTAGAGCAGTCCAATTTTGATAAAACAACTACCAAAATGTTTGCCTTAATGAGGAGAATCTAATGAGCAGATCACAAAAACTAGATCACAGGTTATTGAGATATTGTTATATAATATGAAAAATTATAATAAAGTTTTCTATTATTTATTTATTTATTTTTAAAAAAATATATTGAATCTTTAAAATTTACAAAATAAATTTTCTTTATTGATTTTATTTATTTTTTAAAAATATAATGAACCTTTAAAATAATTTGTAGCCATTTTAGATGTAATTTGAGCACATGCAATCATTAAAAATTGTATTGAATCATTATATACATTATAAAATCTCAATTTCATTTAATCCAACTTTTAATAAAACCAAATGCAGTTTCTATAGGGTTTAAATCAGGGGAATAAGGTGGAAGATAAACATTATGACATTCCAATTCTTCAATAATTTCAATTAAACTTTCATCATGATAAATTTTTGCATTATTAAGAATAATTACACTATTCTTTCCTAGATAAGAATTCATCAAAGGAATCTAATAATGAATATTATATTAAAATATTTTTATCAATACAGTAACCAATTTCCAAGAAAAAATAAATATCTATAAAATAATTACTTACAACTTGTGAAAGAACAAAATCTGTAAATCATTTTTTATCACAACTTCCTTCCATAATATCTAAAGCTATAAATCCATCTAATGTAAGTGTAGAAAGGATTGTATACCACTTTCCACAAACAAAAACTTTATTTTTTTTTGCACGCGTATTAGTAGGAGAGTATCTATAAAGATGTAAAAGTGTACATTCATCTTTAGCACTTTCATCAAGAAAAATCAATTCTTCAGATATATAATTATTTCCAATAGTTGCTATAAAATTACTATGAACTATTTCATTTCTTTCATGATCAGCCTCTTGTAACTTTTAAAAAAAATATTGTTAAAGAAACATTCTAATGTTTACAATATAAAAATAGAACTCTAATTATAATCAAAACTTTTTATGAGTTGTATCACAGTATTGTAAAGAATGCCATAGTGCTGATACAAATATAGACTTTCCAGTTTGATTTTCCATTTCTTCTAAAAGTTCATTTAAATACCAGTTGACCTTTTCTTTTACAAGTTGTTTTGAAGTTCTTTTCTTGTTAATTTTTTTTTACATCCAGGTGCTCCTTTGAAAGAATTTATTATACAACCCCATTTTGCAAATGTTTTGAGAATATAATTTATAGTAGATATACTAATTGATAAAGTTTTGGAAATTTCTTGTTCATTATAATTTTTATTATCTAAATAAACTACTCACCAACATAATTCTTCACTGTATTTTCTTGGCATCTATAAATTCAAAACTGATTAGAGAATATTTGTAATCTTGTAATCTTTCAAAAATAGCAATAGTAATCTCTGAAATCAAAGACAAGAAATCTACTAATATATATTTCAAAACTCAATAAAAATGAATGTCAATATGTAAACAATTGATATATAACATAAAAACACATTTTTTTATTGATTCAAAATATTTTTATTATGAATGATCATCCAGTATTTGTAGTATTCACAGTATCCGCAATAATTTTTTTTGTAACACAAACACCTGATCAGACCATTTTGAAAATAGTGTAATATAATGATGTTTTTCGAAAGTTATTGATATATGTAATTTTTATGTATAGTAATAAATATGTAATTATACAGAAATTTATATAATTTATTGTAAGAGAAAGACAAAAAGTAATATATAATAAACCAAAATTCTGTTCTGTTTCTTTGAATATTTTCAAAATTTTCTAATAACTTTTAAAATAATTTTAAAATATATAGTATTAGATAATTAAATATATAGTATTAGATAAGTTTTTAGTTTAAAAAAATAATAGTAATAAATAATAAAAAATTACTCAAAAAGAATTACTTTAATTTTTTTAAAAAAAGAAAAAAAATGATGAATTTTATTCTGGTCTTTTAACTGGAAAATCAAAATTTATTAAAAAGGATTGTAAACAAACGACTACATCTGCATCATCTGTAACACCAAGAGCATCAGCAGTAGCAACAACACCAACAGTAACAATACCAATAGTAATAGTAGAATCAAATGAATATGAAACTGCAGAAACTACTGCTAAAAAAAACAAAGAGCAACTGTTGGAGCTGAAAAAAAATTATTCTGATGGTAAAGTTTCAAAAGTCTTCAAAAATGTTTGCAAATATACAAAAATTTCAGAACTTATGCATAATTCTTTTTATAGTTAATTTCCTATTTGCATGTAAAGATGCATATAATCTTCTAGATAAATTTGAAGGAATGAATAATAGACAGATAGCAATAAATAATAGACAAATTAAAATAGAAAGAAAAATTCCTGATATACAGAAATTATTAGTATCAAGTAAAGTTGAGTCAGATTATACAATTGAAAATGAATTTATAAAAGTAAGTATTTGTATGTTATGAAGTTCTTTATCAAAATATTTTTTACTTATTCAAAATACTTTGAAATAGAAATTTGTTCAGGAAGTTGCAAATTTTACAATAGATAAAAGAATTTATCCAGATGAAGCTTATTTAAAATTTGCTGCTTTGGGTGTGCAAATTTGGAATATCATGAATATTTTGAAAGTTGAAGTGACAAAAGTTGGAGCTCTTATTATAGGAAATACATTTCAAGTCCCATAAGTTTTATTTAAATTACTTACTTAAATTATATAATTAAAATTTGACATATTGTTTTAGAAATTTTCAAAGTTATTAGCCAACCATTGAAGCTTAAGAGGGTCAATTGCAACTAGAGTAAGGTTTGCTTTTTTGCAATATTTGAAGAGCAAGAGCTTCCATATATTGATATAAAATCCACTTCTCAGGAAATTAAGAAGTGAAAAGATTTGGAACAATTAAAAAATGTATATGAGAAACTTTACCAATGCATTGATCAAGACAAAGAAATGACATGGTGTGCCAGGGTTATACAGAAAGTATGGCCAAATTTTAAAAAATTAATGAAAGAAAAATAATGTTTGGTATGGTTATATGCCAATATACGTTACATCCAAAAATTGAATCAATTAAATTAATGACAATGAGATATGAAAAATTATGAAAGTTAATAAAATAAGTAAGAAATACAAAAAAAAATTTGATATTATGTTAAATATTAAAATTTTATTTATTTATAGAAAAAGCTAGAAAGTAACAAAATTATTAGGTTGGATAATAAGGAAGACGAGAAAGAAGGGGAGGACGAAGAAGAAGGGAGGAAGAAAGGGAAGAAGAAGGGAAGGAAGAAGGAGAGAAAGAAAAGGAAGAGAGGAGCATGAAGTTTTATTTGAAGGACAAAGCATTTTGTCACGAAATAATAGTCTTTTGTGATTTTTAAAAATATATATTATGAACATTTAACAATGTGATAATTTATCAAAACATAATTTTTTTTTGCAGTATTTATTATATTCTCAAAATATTTTGAATAAAAATCAAAATCAACAAATAATTATATCATGATAAAATTAAAAAAATTTTATTAAACAAATTTATGCATGTTACTTAGAAAATCTTAAAAATATTTTTTTTTGCAAAATAATGTTCAAAAAAAAAACCATAATTTCTGAAGAAAATTTATACTACAATTTCTGTAATTATATGAAAGTTGAATGATAAATTTATCAAATTTTGTTTAATATATTTATTTCTACAGAAGTTTTACTGTATAATAAGTATTTGGCACTTGTAAAGTAAAAAAATTTTTGTAAAAAGTGTATTTTAGTACTTATAAAAAGTGAAAACCATTTTCACAAAAATTATACTGCGAAAAAATGAAGAAATACAGAATTTTTTGAGGCGTAATAATAAGGAATTTTTTTGAGATATAATTATATGGAATTTTTTGAGATATAATACAGAATTTTTCGAGGTGTAATTATATGTATGAATTGCAAATATTTTATGGAAATTTTTTTGAGGTGTATGAAATCCATAATTTTATGGTAGATATTTTTTTCAAAATTATTATGGTTCGTAATATTGCAGAAATATATGTAATATTTCAAAAAATTTCTGTAATTTATATGAAAATTTTACGTTCCATAATAATTATGGAGATTTACGCCTATAAAAATTTCCTGATGATATTTTCAATATTTTAATATTACTTATGTTCAATGCAACAAACCCAATGAAATACATAACTTAAAATGAAAATAAGTATATTGATTTGCTATTATATTAAATATATTATTAGAAATATTTTATGAAACATACTTTTCCTTTTCAAATTGAATTCCAATTCCATATTCTTCAATAACTTTAAAATGCTCATACCCCATTGTTTTCAATGTAAGTGGTGAAAAAATAAATTCCTGATATAGTGATCTTCGTGTTAGTCTTATACATAATCTCCTAAATTTTTTATTTCCTCTTCTTCCTTTACGACACCACCCTTCAAAAAATA